ATAAACAAACATTTAAAACATTCCAAGGGAAATAAGCAATTTGGTTAATATACTCCCAGATCTGTAGTGCCTGTCCATGATAAATGGCATGATAAAATCCCCTTACTGTCACCTTACTATTGAATACTAATTAGAAAAAAAGATTAGGTATCCTCTTCATTTAGAGCCTTTCCACTATAGTGATTTCACCAGTTTGATTGTCCGATCTATAGTTCACTCCTTCCTGTGTAATGAAGTTGGGAGACAATGAACTTTCCACAAAGAATGACCTAAACAGATACTTGAATGCAGTCATAAGACAAACAGGATCGAAAGTACAGAGAGAAAATGGCTTATTGATTTTTGTCTTCCTCTCCTATACTCGTCATTCTATTATCCAGAAGAAAACACTAAAGGTTTAGTTGTAATTAGCAGTGATATTAACCCTCTCCTCTGAACCATCTCTTCAGTGTCCCTTCAGTTAAAGATTATGTGATTTTCTGAAAGATTTTCTCCTCAGTCACCAAGTAGTCTTCATGTGACTGATAAAATGATGTCTGGGACCAAGCATTGCTGCCCTACTTTAAAATAGCAAGAGCTCTCTCGCTCGCGCACGCGTTCTCTCTCTCTCTCTCTCTCTCTCACACACACACACACACACACACCACCCCGGTGGCCTACTGGATAAAGAGTTACAATGTCAACCCAAAGGCAGGCAGTTTGAGTCCACCAGGTGCTCTACAGAAGAAAGATGGACAAGCTTTTCCTGTGCGATTTATAGCCTCTGAAAAACCACTGGAAGGTTAGCTACGTGTTAGTTCCAACTTGACAGCAATGAATTGAGCTGAATTATACACACACACACACACACACACACACAAATATACATCTCACTCACTCACTCATTGCCATCAAGTCATATGCTGCCTTACATATGGTTATAGTTGCCATGGGCTCAACTTCTGACCCACAGCAAAGCAGGATCAAATAATTGGTTTTGTCTGATTTTAGTAGTAGATGGTTAGACCTAGTCTTCATCTGGAAAATCTACGATTTCGTCTTGGATCCACAATCAACATCCTTGGTACCAGCAGTTAGGAAATCAGGAGACGTGCTGGACTGGGAAAGTGTACAGTCAAGGACCTTTCCAAATTATTGAGGAGCAATGATGTCCCTTTGAGCACTAAGGTGCATCTGACTCAGGCTATAGTCTTTCTGATCATTTTCTGTGCATCTGAGAGCTGGACAATGCATGTGGATGACAGAATTGACGCCTTTGAGCTGTGGTGCTGGAGAAGAATAGTGAACATCCCACGGAATGCCTAAAGAACAAACAAATATGTCTTGAAGAAAGTGTAGCCAGAGTGCTCCTTGGAGGCAAAGATGATAAAGCTTCACTTTACATACTTTGGGCATGCTACTAGGAGGGGCTATTTCTTTGAAAGGAACATGATTATGGGTAGGATGGAGGTTTGGCAAAGGAGAGAAAGACCCTCAGTCAGGTGGATTGACCCTGTGACTTCCACAATGGGTTCTAGTGTGTCAGGGAGTGTGAGAATGGCACAGGATAGGACAGGGTTTAGACCTGTGGTTCCTAGAGTCACTATGGGTCATATGTGACTTGGTAGCATCAAATAACAACCACCACCATATCAAAAATGGAATGCTTCCTTTTCTATTAATTTGTTGTTATTAAGTGTCATTGAGTCAAATACTACCCCCATAGCAACTCTATGAAGAATAAATCTGAACCCTGTCCTCTTCTGTGCCAGCCTCATAATTTACTTCCATTTTGGGCTCTACCTCTAATATTATGACTATCAATGTTCCTCTACTATTCATAGGATTTTCAGGGGCCTGCTATTTAAGATGGATTACCACTCTTTTTTCCTAATTTGTCTTAAGCTGGAAGCTCTAACAAAACCTGTCCACCATGGGTGACTCTTGTGCCATTTGACACTCTGGTGACATAGCTTTCAGTTTCACAGCAACCCACATATTATCTTGGTACAGCAAACTCACAGACAAGCGTTGCATTAATAAGAACAATGAATTCTACTAAGACACAAACTACAAATATTAAACACATTATGAATTTGCATGTTGTCCCTGCACAGGTCCATTCAACTTAGTCTTTCTTTAAATACTCCAAGTATTGATATATGCCTGTTATCACCACGTCTTTTCAAGTATCCAGTATATCTTTCTCACAGGTCATTAGTAATTCATGATATAAAATATAAGTTATATGAATGATTGTATAAAACACAATGTACATGAAAGACTATGTATATGAATGATTGTAAAGAACAGTAAGCACATGTACACCATAGTTTTTAATGTATGCTAACCAAGAAACTTTTTTTTAAAAAAAGCTATACTCTAAGCATTGACATTGCTTTGCAATTGGCCCACCCTAGCTATATAATCTAGTAATCTGATCTTTTCACACCTCTGATGAAATCCCTTCATTATGTCTATATTGACATTAGGTGGAAAAGTCAACTTTCTTGGCACGAAATGGAAGGCTTTGATCGTTTGGTCTCTGCTTACCCACCAAGCCTCCTCTTAAATATTATTTCTAATTCCTTTAAGGCATACCGCTTACTATTATTGCCTCGGCATACAATTCCCTTTACTTATGATGCTTAACTCCTACATATTTGTTATAAATCTCAGTTATGACTTGTTCACAGTAACCTAGTTCCACTAAACACCACCAATACTGCGATGGGACTACTTCTTTTGTGTTCTCACAAATGTTACAGCATGTATCACGTTCTTGTTGTTATTCATTGAGTCATGAATTCATGCCATAGAGTCAACTATGACTCATAGCTAGCCTATGAACCATAGACATGAACCTTGCCCTACTCTGCACCAATTTCCAAAATGCTGAAGCATTACAGTCACTTTGTCAATCTATCTATCCCTTTCACTGTCCATTCACTTTTCTCAGCATGATATTTCCAAGGACTGGCCCCTCTTGAAAACATGCCCAAAGTGTGTAAGGTGGAGTTTTACCATACTTGCCTTGATGGGGTAGCTTGGTTGCACTTCACCCAAGACAGACTTGTTTGTTCTTTTGGCAGTTCTTGTATAATCCATTGTTTACGGCTGTGTTCCATCAAGTTGGAATCAACTCGTAGCTGACCCTCCAGTGGGTTTTCAGAGGCAGCTGATTACACAGGAGGAGATTGCTTATCCTTCTTGCATAGAGCAAGAAGATTCAATGGTAAATTTAAACTACTTGCCTTTGGGATTTCAGCACAGCTTTTTTACCATTATGTCACCAGAGCTCCATAAAAATGACTAATTTCATGTCTCTTTCAATAGACTGAGCTTTCTGAGTCAAGAGTATACATCTATTCATCATATTTCCAGAGACCTACCTCAAAGTGGGAGCTCTGATGGCTTAGTGGTAAGAAACTGTGCTGCAATACCAGAGGAATACAGTTTGAATCCACCAGCTGCTTCATGGGAGAAGAATGGGCAAACTCTCCTGTGTGAGTAACTGCCTCTAAAAACCTGCTGTAAAGTCAGCTATGGGTTGGTTTTGACTTGACAGTATACAACAACAATCATCACCTCACAGTGTGGAATATTAAACATATTCCAGATAAAGGATTGTTGGGTGACTAAGTGCCTGGAGAACTTTGAACACAAAACATAGAAAAATAAGCATTCAAACTAAACACTGGTTCTATCAAGAATGCCAGTCCCTGAAATTAAAAAAAAAAAAAGCACCCCACTCATTGTCATCAAGTCCAAACCAACGCCAGTGAGTTTTCAGAGGTTGTTAATTGCACAAGAGGAGATAGCTCATCTTTCTCCTTTAGATTTGTTGGTAATTTGACCTTTAAGAGAAGGACTGTCTTTGGTTTAGCAACAAAGACCACCACTAGACCACCAGAGTTCCCAATAGCTGACATTATTAGGTTAAAAAGTACTTCTTCTACAGATGTAGGCCACAGTAGCATAATCCACAGTATATCCCCTAAGCTAACATCTTAATTCAGAAACTTGACTCGAATGCAATCAACAAAAACAATAATTCACTGCCATCAAATCAAAATTGATTCAGAGATAACCTTCCATCTGGTTTCCAAAACTGTAAAATATATGGGAAGAGGTTGTACATCTTCTATGGAGTAGCTGATGGCTTCAAACGACCAGAGGAATCACCTTTGGGTTAACAGAACAACTCCTGATCCACTAGTCCACCACAGTTCTGTCAAATTATTATTTCTTTTCTGAGTCAATAGCATATGGAGAGGGAGCCCTGCTGTGTTAGTGATTAAGTACTCAGATGCAAATAGAAATACAAACAATGTGAAGCCTCCAGGAATTACATGGGATAAATTATGGTAGTATGCTTTTCTCCATGATTTCCATTCTTGGAAGGTGTATGAAACAGTTTTGCTCTATACTACGTGGTCACTATGAGTGAGAATTGAGTAGATAAGCAATAGAGTTTTCAGGAGGTGGGAGGTACATATCTCCTGCATTTTTCGTTACTTTCAAAAGCTTGTGCTACATCTTCCTTTCTCCCACTTGTGAAATCCCTTGTTTGAGAATATGCAGTTATTTTAGTAAGCATGAGTTTCTGTTCCAGAAATCAACTAAACCTTCCAAGATGGGCAGGGGTCAAATCTTTTTTTTTTTTTTTTTTTACAATGTGAGAAGTGTTAAACATTCTTTATTTGTTATCATACACAAACCACACTAAACTGCTTTTTGTTATTCAAAAGGCAACATTTTAGATACAGGGAATTATTTCCAGTAACACAGTCAAGGGCAAATAAAGTCTTGCTACTTTATCTCTAGGCCTTGCATTAAAGATGGTGATAGAAATTGAAGCAGGTGAGGTGTGTTCTGTTCCATGTGACAGTAAAGACATCCTTGTATTTAAATAAAATTTGTATAATCAGTTACAGAAATCTAAATCTAAAAACCATCTCCTATAGATTGTGATGCGGCATCCACCATCTGTTAAAAACTGAGTAAAACTAATGGTATGAGATCAATTTAAATATGGTACATGCAAAAAAAAGTCACAGGACATTTCTACTTTGTAATAAATAAGGCAGAGGTCAACTATGTTATTCATTGGTAGCTTCCTTAAGATAAGCTATCAACTCTGCCCTTTCTGTCTTCTTCTTAATGCCAGCAAAGATCATCTTTGTTCCGGGGATGTATTTCTTGGGATTCTCCAGATACTCCATCAGTGTATCCTCTCCCCAGGTGATACCTCTGTTCTTATTGGCATCTGTATAAGAGAATTCAGGGGCTTGACCAGTCTTCCGCCCAAATAAACCATGCAGGTTCGGCCCAGTCTTGTGCTTGCCCCCCTTCTCCACGGTGTGGCACTGGGCACACTTCTGCACAAAAATTTTCTTGCCCTTCTCAACATCACCCATTTTGAAGTCTACAACAAGAAAACACTCTGCAGTCCTGCACAAGGGGAAGATAAATTCTCAGGCACCAGATGTCCAGCTCTCTCCAAATCTTGCAAATGTGTGGAAATATGGTAGAAAAGTGCAAGATTGACAGGTTCTTCTCTAAGAGTCATCCTTTTGGTTATAAAGTCAATGATAAGAAATGATGAATTCATAAAGACTACAGACTTTTTTTTTTTAACCTAAGTGGCTAAGGAGTCAATCCAAAGACAGGTGGTTCGAATCTAACAGCTGCTCTGAGGAATAAAGATGGGGTATCTCCTCCCATGTGACCTAAAAGTCTCTGAAAACTCACTGGAGTGTTGACCATGTGTCAGTTCTGACTTATTAGTACATGCCAACAACAATAACAATGACATTTTAATTTAATTGTAATTTGAGTAAATTTTACAAAAGCCATTTGGTTTTTCATCTATTTATATGCACTTTGCTTTATAACATTAATTATGATATTAATAATGAAGTCACACTTCTAAATTCCTCCTTGTGATTCTTATTTCCATTAAGCCTTCTATTCTGAACATTATTTCTGGGACAATGCTGCCCTTTTGACCTTATGCAATTGATTTTTCTAAGTAGAGTGCCTCCCTGGTATTACTGTTCACCTTATAGCTCTGTCTACTTTTAGGCTGCAAGTTGAGCAATGGAAATTATTTTTTTTTCTCCCCTAAGTTTGAAGAGTGACTAAGGTTCATGGTCTTAAGTTCTATAGTCTATAATCTAAGATCTATCATACGAGTATGTGTGCCCAATTTTATACTTTTTGAGTTTTGTTTCACATCTTTTGCCTAATCTAAGATTTTTTTAAAATAGTGATCAGTAGTGATAGTCAGGTATCATCTAGTTCTTTTGGTCTCAGTGTCATTGAGGGTAAGGTTCTTGGGTCCCATTAATCCTTTGGACTAATTGTTTCGACGCAACACTAAAATCCTCAAAGAGTTCTTGCCCTGTTTCTCTCCACTTCAGTGTAGTTATATCCTGGATTGGAACTGAGTAAAAGCCAAATAATCTTGATTATTGTCTGTTTGATACCATTGAAATCCTGAAACATATATACAACTAAGTAGCTCTGGTGGCATTGCCCATAGGGAATTTTGCTGCTAATCCAAAGGTGGTGATACAAATTCACCAGCAGTTCTGCAGGAGAAAGATGGGCAATTGCCTCCAGTCTGATTTACAAGCTTGGAAAATCCACTGGAGGGCAGGGCTCATTATGAATCTGTTCTGACTCCTTGGCAATGAGTTTGAGTTATATGCAAATAATTTAAGAATCTCATGAAGCACCACAATGGGTAAAAATTACCATTTTCTCATCACAGTACTTGGAACTCACTATACTATTTCTACCCACTATCTCTTCTGAGCTTCTAGTAACAGGATCTCATTTTTAACATAGACGAAATTAGTACATTGAGTGGCTGGACTCCAGTAAGTTGCAGCAAGAAGTAATTATTTCTGCTTCACTGTTTCAAAACAACAAGCAATAATCAAAACATAAGCAAATTACTTGGATAGACATTTCACTAAAGACTATATACAGATGGCAAATAAGCACATGAAAAGATGCTCAAACTAATTAGTCATTCTCACTGTTGTCGTTAGGTGCTGTCAAGTATGACTCTAAGAACAACAGATCTGAACCCTGGCTTATCCTGTGCCATACACATCATCTCTAACATACTTGAGTCCATTGCTGCAGTCATGGTGTCAATCCATCTCACTGAGGGTCTTCCTCTCATTCATTCATCCTTCTATCTTTCCAAGCACGAGGGCTCTTTCCAAGGAATAGTATCTCCTAACAACATGTCCAGAGTTCTAATGGCTTAGTGATAGGTAGTCGCACTAACTCATAGGTAAATGGTCTGGATTCACCAGTTCCTCTGCAGCAGAAAGATTGGCAATCCCCTCCCGTGTGCTGTACTGCCTCTGAAAACTCTCTGGAGGGTCAGCTACAAGTCAGTTACAACTTGACAGTGTACAACAACAACAACAATGTGCAAAGTATACAAAGTGAAAAACAGTCAACATAATTGACTACATTAAAAAATCAAATAAGAAGAACCATATGATCTTTGCAATTGATGCAGAAAAGGCATTTAATGAAATCCAACACCGGATTAAGATCCTCAACAAAATTGGAATAGAAGGGAATTTCCTCAACATAGTGAAATGTATATATACAAAACCAAAAGCCAATATTAGTCTCAATGGAGAAATACCAAAAAACATTTTCCTTGAGAACAGGGACCAGACAAGAATGGTCACTTTTTCTCCTTCTGTTCAATATTGTATTAGAAGTACTTGCTTGTACAATACAACAAAAGAAGTAAATAAAGTGCATCTTGATCAGCAAAGATATGGTTAAATTGTCGCTATATGTAGATTAAATGATAGTGTACACAGAAAACCCCAAGGATTCAACAAAAAAATAAACCACTGTTAGAGCTTGTAGACCAATTTAGTTGAGTGGCATAATATAAGATCAATATCCAAAAATTAGTGGAATTCCTCTACAGTAACAAAGAGAATTCAGAAAAAAAACCCCAAGAAAACAATACTCTTTACAATAGCTAACCACAAATTGATATGCCTGGGAGCGAACCTAACTAGAGATACAAAAGGCCTGTACAAAGAAAACTACAGAATATTTCTGTGAGACAAAATAGACAGCTTAATTAAATGGAAAAATGTGCCCTGTTCATGGATAGGAAGACTCAATATTGTGAAAATGACAATCCTACCAAAAGCAATCAACATGTTCAATGCAATCTCAATACAGATACCAAATTAATTTTTCAAGGAGATTCAAAGGTAAATTGTCAACTTTATTTGGGAAGAGAGAGATTCCAAATAAGCAAAGCACTTCTGGAAAACAAAAATGAAGTGGGACACTTAGCATTCCCTGACTTCAAAACTACACAGTGGTAGTAACCAAAATAACATAGTACTGGTACAATGACAGGCACATAGACCAATGGAACAGAATTGAGAACCCATAATCAACTAGTATTCAACAAGGAAATAAAACCTATCAGATGGGGAAATGCCTACCTCTTCAACAAATGGCACTGGCAAAACTGGACTTCCACCTGCAGAAAGCTTAAGCAGGATCTACATCTCACACCATACACAAAAATCAACTCAAGGTGGATCAGAGACCTGGGAATAAAGCCCAAAACCATAATGTTCTTAAGAGACAAACTGGGATCAAGCTTAGAAGCGGTAGTCCAATGTATAAAGAGACTGCCAAAACAACCAGAAATGGATAAAATTGATAAAATTGAAGAGGCTAAAATTGATGCATGGAATCTTCTAAAGATTAAATCCATGTGTGCATCAAAAACTTTTTCAACAGGGTGAAAAGAAAACCTACAGACTGGGAA